GGAGGGCACCAAACGGGAGGTCCAGTTCAAGGACCTCCTAAAAAATCTGGAAAGTGAGAAGGACAACTTGGAGGAACGTCTGATGGACCAACTGGCCCAACTCAATGGCAGCATCGCCAGATACCAGCAAGAGGCTGCTGACCACCACGAGCAACTTGCTGAACTTCAGCGGGACGTGGAGAGACTCGAGAGGGAGCGGGCCGAGCTTGAAGCCGAGGCCCGGGCACAGACGGACCGAGCGGCCCGGCTGGAAGAGGACATGAGGCAGGCCCAGAGGCAGAGGGCAGAAGCCGAAACAGAGATGGGGAAGCAGAGGGAGCTGGAGCAGCAGCTGAGGTCTGCTCAGAGGGTCAAAGAAGGCAGTCAGAGCCGAGCACGTCAGCTGGAGGAACTCCTGAGGGAGAAGCAGCTGGAGGTCCGTCAACTCCAGAAGGACAGCATCCAGTACCAAGAGAGGATCAGCGAACTGGGAGTGGAAGCGAAGGCGCTGCAGCTCGGCCATGATGAGCTCAGCAAGAACCTTGCGCAGTCCCAAGAAGAGACACGCAAGAACCTGCAGGAGCTGAAGAAAACCGAAGCGGAATTCACAAGCTGTAAATCCACCTTGAATGAAGCTAAGGAGCAATTAAGCCAAATCACACTTGAGAAAACAACTATGGAAAAGAACATCCATCAGAAGGAAGCTCTTTGGAAAGCCGAAGCGGAGCAAACACTGGACTCTGTCAGATTCAGATTAGGAGCCGAACTGAAGGAGATGGAGCTGAGACTGGAGGAGGCTTACCGCGAACGGGAGAAAGAAGAAGAAGCCACGCTGGAGGCCAGAGAAGCTGCTGATGTGGCTGAGAGCCGCGCGCAGGAGATGCAGGCCCGCCTTGACGAGTCTCTCGCCCGGCTCGCCGCCTTCTCGCGCTGCATGTCGTCGCTGCAGGACGACCGAGACAGAGTTCTGGATGAGGCCCGGCAATGGGAGACACGCTTTAACGATGCTCTACTTGCCAAGGAGGCTGAAATTCGAGACACGGAAACCAGGGCCAAGGAGCTGGCGGAGAACCTTCAGAAAGAATCTGCTCTCAAAGAGGAACTCCAGCTCAGACTGCACACGTAGGTCACAAATCTGTCTTTCGTAGTTCCCGCATTTGCTTGAAATTCTTGAGTTTTACGTTTCAGGTTAGAAAAAGCTGACCAGGAGCGGCAGTTGAAACTGGATGAGGCTGCGCAGAAATTAAATGGGAGCCAAGCTGAGCTGGAGAAGGAGCACGCCGAGCTCCTGCAAACCACAGCCGAATTGCAGTCGGCGCAGAGCGAAGTGCGGCTGCTCAAGGGCGAGCTGGAAAGCCACAACCAGAGGGTCCGTGCTCTCGAGGAGGCTGTGGGACGGCTGCAGGAGGACATCGGCAGGGCCCGGGCGGAGCTGCGGGACAGGGAGGCGGACGATCGACGTCTTTGCCTGACCTTGGAGCAGCTGGAGGCCGACCTGCACTCCTCCAAGGCATTGACGGAGACCCTGCAGGTGGCGTTACATGAGAAGGAGAAGAGGGAAGTGGAAATGCTGGATGAGAAGGAGCAAGCCGTTGCTCAGGTAAGAAGAGGAAAAAATCTTTCTGCTCCCTGTGAGTGCCCGGAGACTATTGCGTTTGTCCTCGCAGGCTGCGGAGGAGGCACGCAAGGAGGCCGAGGGCAGGGCACGCGAGGCTGAGGAGGAGCTGGAGCGCAAACGAGGAGAACTGCGAGACCTCGAGGAGAAACTGCGACTGGCCGATGTGGAGAGCGACAGCCGGAGAGCCAAACTGGATTCCTTCACGAAGGCCATGGGCTCCTTGCAGGATGACCGAGACAGGGTGCTCAGCATGTACAAGCAGCTGGAGGAGAAACACCTCCAGGTCATGGTCGACAAGGATGCTCTGATCCAGGAGGCGGCAAGCGAGAGTAACAGTCTGAAGGAGGATCTGCGCTCTCTGCTGGTCCAGAGGGACGACCTGTACGCCGAGAAGGCCAAACTGTCCGCTCAGCTCCACGGCTACAGAGATGAACTCAAGCAGGTTCTCAGCATGAAGGACTCTCAACACAAACAGCTCCTCGCCGCCCAGCGGGATCGCATCACCTCCTTGGAGAAGGAGCGCGACGATTTGGAGAGTGCGCTGAAGAAGCCCGGCGAGTCAGAAGCTGTCAAAGTGGAGCAGGTGATGCCATTGCAAGCCGTCAACGCCCCTGGGGCTGAGGTGGAGAAGCTGAGGGAGCAGTTGGAGACCGCACGAGAAAAAGTACAAGCTATGGAGGAGAACATTCTGAAGGAGAGGGAGGCGCATGAGAGAGAGACCAAAGAACTGTCCGAGCTGCGCTGGGAGGGAGGCCTGATGCGCACAGAGTCCGAGAGTGCTCAAGAGAGAGTGGCCGAGCTGGCCCGAGACCTGCTGGCCGTCGAGCAGAAGCTACTGGCGGAGAAGGAGCTGGTGGTGCAGCTGAAGGCGGAGAACCAGTCGTTCGGCAAGGCCATGGCCTCGCTGCAGGACAGCAAGGACCAGGCGGAACGCAAAGCCCGCCAGCTCAGTCTCAAGCTGGACGAGGCCACCAAAGTCGGAAGCCTCTCTCCAAGCAGCTCTGGAGAAGTGTGGAGCCTGAAGAATGCCCTGCAAGCTCTCCAGAACGACCGCGAGAGACTGGTGAGTCACGTCTTCCTCAAGTGACGCTGAAAGCTATTGCTCCGAATAATTCTGGCCTTTCCTGATAGCTGGAGCAGCTTCAAACACAGACGATGGAGCTGAAGACCAACAAGTCACAGCTGGCCCGTCTGGGAGCGGGTGAACTGATCAAAGTCAGCCAAGAGCTCTTTGAGGAGAAGAACAAGAATGCGCACTTGGCCGGCATCATCACGGAGATGGAGAACATGGCGGCAAGCGGCAAACAGGAAATAGAAATGCTCAGGTGAGACATACGAACAGCACAAGCGTGTCATGTCCTGTGTATGTCAGTTGTTGGTGACGTCTGAGCACGCCTGCACGCTGCAGACTGGAACGCGTGGACTGGATGGCCCAAGCGGAGCAGCTGAAGCAGCAGACGCTCAGCACGTTGTCGGAGCGTGACCAGCAGCTGAGACAACTCGCCGCCATGTTGGAGGAGGCGCGTGCGCACACGCCCAAACACCAGAAGGAACAGTACCACAGAGAGGTCAACAAACCTTTGCCAAACACTTTCAAAGAAGTGATGATAATTTCAGAACAAAAGAAAAAAAATGTCATTTAATGTTTTGCTTTTTGGTTTCCCGATCTGAAATGTAAAAAAGAAATTGTCATTATCGACAGTACCCACCTATAATGGGATTATTTGAATCAAATGTTTTTACATTTTTTGTACATGTAAATACCCCCCTCCCGCTAAATTTGAATGGTCAAAAAAGACATTTTGAGCTCCCTTTGTTGTTGTTGTTTTCATGTTCAGAAAAGACTATTGGCATGATGATTTTATTTTAGAATTATTACATTCACTCCATCTCAGGCCTCACGGGAAGTGGACAGTGCTCCCGGTGCTCCTCAGGAGAGGAGCAGCCTGCAGGAGGGGCACGCCTCCCTGGCTGAGCTCTCGCAGCTGCAGCGGAGGTACTGCACGGATCCAGGGAAGACATTTCATGTCACGGCACAGAGGTTAGGAATCACTGGTCATTTTTTATGTGCTCCTTCAGACTCGATGAAGAGACGCAACAGAGGCTGGCAGCTGAGGAGCAGCTCTTGGAAGCGGAGGATCGACTCAGGCGGTACAAGAAGAGGCAAAATGGATTGGTCGTGAATTTGTGTCATGTCCACTGATGTTCTTTGTTGAATACTCCGCCGCAGCCAATCCAAATGGGAGGATCACTCAGAGACAGCCGTTTTCATCGAGCCTCCCCCAGGTGGCGTCACACGTGTGAGTCACCGCCTTTGAAATGTGGGCACTTGTGTCGAGACGTGTGACTCGAGTACCCTACCTGTATAATCCCCTCTTTCTCCCCGCGCAGACCCGTCGAGGAGCCACCCCGGGTTTGATGCGGGCGCTACGCTCGGGCATGTGCTGGCGCCGCCGCACGCCGCTTCTGCTGGCCGTCTACCTGCTCAGCGTACACGTTCTGCTGCTGCTGTGCTTGGGCGGCTTCCTGTGACAACTTCAAAGGGTTACCGCACACAAATATTGCACTTTACATACAATAAACACACACATACACGGTCCGTTGCCAGTTGCCAGTTTATTAGGAGCCCCGATCGCAGCAATAACTGCCACCGTCCCAATCCAGTGCGGGCTAGGTGTACCTAATTAATTGGCCACGGTATTTTGAGGGATCTGCTGTTAGTTTTAACGGTGAGGACATGAAGGGAAAATGTTATGCGTGGAAATGCAAATAATTGTATACATATTTATATATCCAAAGTGGCTCTGAGGTTCATGTTGTGCAGTTTGCCTTCTGCACACTTTCTGTTGTGATCACAAAAAAGTGTGGTCCAACTACCAATAATTCCGTTCAACTTTCCCCCCCAAAAGGGACTTTTCCATAATATTCTCTGTACACTAATGTTGATAATGGATTCCAAAGGAGATGCGCTCCTTGCAGTAGCCGTCTCATTCCAACAGAAACTGTTCTACTGTGATTTAGCCTAATTTATTGTTAGTTGAAATGGTTCACGCCTCTTTCTTTCCTGCTTTCATCATTCCTTTTGAGGTGTACACTGTATGTAACAGTTTTCAAGGGCTGCAGGGAAAAATGTTTTTCTGTTACGTCGTTAAAAAAGATCCGATTTTGCAAGGCGGGTGTGAGGTATCCTTGTTTTTGGTGACATATTCAAAAATTTTGAATAAAAAGATATTTTTAGTGGGAACTGAAGTGTGTTTTACTGTAGACTCAATGCAGTATTATCTTTCTTTCACCTCAGTAAAGTAAAAAGATGATTTTGTACGCTTGATAACACACAATATTACAATAGTTTGATACACTGCCCTCAAGTGTTCATACTCGGTATGACAATCCCACAATTCAAGTCGCGAAGTTACACGCCGCTCGTGCACATGACGTTGATGCTCGCCCATCTTCCGTGTCGACACATCTACTGAGACGCGGAAATCTACAGAAGTGACGAACTGAAAAGGTAACTGAACTTTTCTTTCAACTTAATGGTTTTATGTCGTGTTGTCTTTGGTTTTTAACCAAACAATTACGATATGTGCATGTTAAGTTTTTTCTTATTGATGAAGGTGCAGTTGGGTAATCTTCAAGGATATTCAATTCTATGACAGCATCATGTGGACCAGCAACATGTGCAAATGTACAAATTCACTAACATCGGTCTTACGAGAAATGCTAAAACAATAGGCAGTGCAAATATGTTTTAGTATTGAAAATGAAAAGGGTTTTTCTCATGCATGTACATTTAAAAAAAAAATGTTTTAGTATTGAAAATGAAAAGGCTTTTTCTCATGCATGTACATTTTAAAAAAAAACATTGCTCTTGTTCATTTTCGGGAAATGAAACTTGTGTGTGCACTTTTTCCATCATCCCAATGAATTTCTGAAAATATGAATCAGTCATTGTATGTGTTATGTTTTGCAGATGTGGAAGTCAGTGGTCGGCCACAATGTGAGTGTGAAGGTGGCTGCCGAAAGCGACGACTGGGAGACGGACCCAGACTTCGAGGTAATGCGTGAGGACTTCCTGCCAGTATGGTGCAGGATGTATGTTGATGTAAACTCTTCCCGTTTCAGAATGACGTGTCGGAACAAGAGCAGAGGTGGGGGGCCAAGACCATTGAAGGTTCTGGTCACAAAGAACCCATCAGGTAACTGAAGTTGCCATGCGTGTTCACTTATTGAGTCCTGCGCTCACTCATGGCCGTCAATGTGTCGAAACAGGAAGAGGAAGTGAGAGCGGATCAAGTTATCGCCTAATATGGAATTTACCAAATGTTTACACTAGCCATGCTGTATTACAAAAAGGACAGGGAAAGCTGGCAACAGTATTTGGAGTGTGAGACAAAGCTCTCATGGATGGTGCAGTGGAAAAAAGATTGGGTGAATGACAGGGATGAAAATGACTCCATCAGATTTTGATGGTATGACAAAACTAAGAAAAAAGATTGGCGATCCTTATTTTTGCAAAATGTATTATTTTGACATTTTGGGTCGATAGCTATTTTTGTTTTCTGATCATATTCACTTTACAATGCCGTCATTGTATTACGTATTCACAGCTTTTTTTTTTCCCAAAATGCATCATGGCCACCAAAAAAAACAGATTGCGATGAAGCTTGAACTGTTTTTTTTCCTTTTCATTTTAATTTGGCTTTATTTTGCAGTGTTGCGGATCTGAGGCACAAAGTGGCAGCAGAGCACGAGCAGGTGAAACATCAGGAGATGACCCCCAAAGCGTCGTACGGCTACGGAGGCAAATTTGGCGTGGAGAAGGACCGCATGGACAAGGTGTGATTGACATGATAGGCTTCATGTTTTCATCAAAAGTTAAAACATTTTATGGTCATGCAGGTGGCGGTGGGACACGACTATGTGGCTCAAGTGCAGCAGCACAGTTCCCAGAAAGATGCAGCCAAGGGATTTGGAGGGAAGTTTGGGGTGGAGAAAGATCGGCTTGACAAGGTCAGAGGACAAGAGGGACTATGTTTTATTTTTATTCATTCAATTTCCCGTCGAGCTTATGTATCCAATACATACGTTGTCTGTGCAGTCTGCTGTGGGTTTTGAGTATAAAGGAGAAGTCAAGCAGCATACGTCACAGAAAGGTTGGTCAAATAGAATTATACTGTCATATAAAATGCTTTATTTGTACTACATTGAGTCTCGTGCGAATGTGTGTCCTTCCAGATTATTCCAAAGGCTTTGGGGGGAAATACGGCGTGGAAAAGGAGAAGGTGGACAAAGCCGCCTTGGGCTATGACTACAAAGGCCAAACGGAGAAGCATCAGTCGCAGAGAGGTGGATCCACACTGTTGCTCGCATTGCACTCTGCATGATTTCACATCCCCCGTCCCCACCCCTCCTTGTGGCACCAGATTATTCCAAAGGCTTCGGAGGCAAATATGGCGTGGAGAAGGAGAAAGTGGACAGAGCCGCCGTGGGTTACGACTATGAGGGACGCACAGAGAAACACCAGTCCCAAAAAGGTAACCGAACACGGATGCAGTGGCACTCATCCGGTGCGCAACATCACTGTAATCCAGTGGAATCTGTACAGATTATTCAGCAGGTTTCGGAGGTCGATATGGAGTACAATCGGAACGCATGGACAAGGTGAGTGAGTCAGTTCAACTAAATCATTGGAAGAACATGTTCAGTAAATCAATAGTTTTCATACATACATATCAAATGAATAAAAATAATTGTGTGAGTTAAGTGTCCAGGTAAAAAGTATAAAGATGAAGATGTTGTGATGTTTTCAGCCATTCAACTCAATTGAAATCTTTTTTTTTATTTTATGCTGCAGAGTGCAGCTGGCTTCTCTGACATGGACTCCCCGACCTCTGCTTATGAGAAGACGCAGCCAATAGAAGCCTGTAAATTGTTTATCGATGGATTTATGTATGTCGAGAATAAAGTCGAAGTTGACATCGACTGTGTTCCGTGCAGCCGGCGCCAATGCGGGTAAGCTGAAGGCTCGTTTCGAGAGCCTGGCCAAGGCCTCAAACGAGGAGAAGGTGAGGAGAGTAGAAGAGAAGAGCAGCAGGAAGGACCGAGAGAAGAACGAACGACAGGCATCAGAACGCAAACAGCTGGTGACCCCCACTTAAAAATAAAAAAAAAAACGACAAAGTCCTGTGAGGATTTTTAGCAAGTTCACTTCAATATTGCTTGCTGTACAGGAGCAAAAGAGCAGAGAGGACCAACTTCATCTTGCAGATGTTCCAGAAGTGCTTGCAGAGTGTGTCGCATCACCGGAGATCGACCAGAATACACCAGAAGAACCACAGCCAACAACAGAACCTCAAGCACAGGTCAAACACTTTTGTATATAGCCAGAAGTCAGGTTACCAGTTCCATACAGGCACCGTGTGTGCATTTCCCTTGCAATACCTGCTAAAGTGCAGTCTTGATCCCGTGCGTCCATAGTTGAAATCAGCCGACGACGAGCCGCCGGCTTCGCCTCTACCCTTTGACCGCTTCCTGCAAAAAGACCTTCCCCTGCCCCCCGTCGAGGAGGTGGAGGATGTGTATGACCAAGTCACGGATGAGGAGGACAGAAGCAACGAGTATGAGGAGGTGGCGCCGCCACTCCCGACGCTGATGGAGGGAGGCGAGGAATACGAAGAAGTCGGCGCCCTGCCCCCGGCTGCTTGGTCAGGTACAGCATCAACGCACAAGTATGTACAGCAGCACCTTGACTTGTATTCTTGGTTTTGGAATCTTCTTGTTTTCATGTGCTAGCGGCAGATGAGTACGAGGACCTGTCACGTGGCGTCCAAGCCATCGCGGTTTACGACTATCAAGGAGGTTCGTTTCTACTTTCAGCTCATATTTTTGAATCATATCTGCGCGCCGGTGAGGATGTATTGGCTCACTTCGGCAGAGGATGAGGACGAGATCTCCTTCAACCCCGACGACATCATCACTGACATTGAGATGATCGATGAGGGCTGGTGGAAGGGACGCTGCCACGGACGCACTGGCCTGTTTCCTGCCGCATACGTCCAGCTCACGCAGTGAGACACAGACGCCAACCGCCACGGGGCGCACCGCTACGTGTAAGGTGTTTTTTTTTGTTTTGTTTGTTTTTTTTTTTTTAAGGCCGGGCATAATTGTCAAAGGTTGCAAATGTTGTGAAAACAACACCACAGTACTTGGCTCCCATTAAGAATAGAGATGTCCTGATCAGATTTTTGGGCATTGTGAGTTGCTTGATTTCAAGCGTCAGCCGATGCAGTCTCCATATACTATTTTTGGGATTGCATTTCTAAGTAAAAGCAGACAAACTACATTTTTTTTTTCAATTATAATTAGCTCAAATTCTTTTGTGACCCAAAAGGTTACATGTAACACTGAACTATTGCCCCCCCCCCCCCATTTGACAATGCCTTATACGTACACCCAAGTGTATTTTTTTGCTTGGTGACCACCAAAAAAAAATAAAAGAAAATATGAAACTGTAAAACGTTTCCACCCAATAGCAATCATTTAAAAATTGGCCAAGTATATTAATTAAAAAAAAAGTCTCCTGACAGTGCAAACAGAATAAATACAAAATGTTTATGTTGCAAAAAGTCTGCTAGATATGCTAAGAGTAAAATTTACAAAAATAATAATTTCAACCAATATGTGCATGGGACTTATGCCCATTCCTGGTTAGTTTACCAAAATAATAACTCGGGAAATTTACATTTGTCAACTCTTTATGGTTCAATTGAGTAGTATTACTAAATCACTAATGGCTTTACAGTTGTTTCGAGGCATTTTATTGGGGGGGGGGGGATAAAAATGTACTTATTGTGTCCATCCAAAGTGTTTCTACTGTTCCATCCCAATAAACAGAGCCTATGTGGTACATCAATGTTATCCACATTGTGGCAGTCATCGTGGAAAGATCGATTGCCTCCAGAGTCTTTTTTTGTTGCAATGCTTTTCACCAGGCAATGCCCTTCTTCTTGTTTGTTTTTCCTTTGCGGCCGCTTTTCTGAGCCACGCGCTTGGTCCTCAGCTTCTTGGCCTGCCTCTGGTTCATCCACACCGGATACTGTCCGTGCTCATTCAGCAGTGTCTTCTTGTTGCGCTTGCTGTCCAAGTCCATGGCGCCATCTGCAGCACAAGTGATCATTTATTTGCAATATAATGAGTGTAATGGCAGCGGGAAGACGCTCAATCTCGCTCACCGTCATTTCCGTCTCCCTCCATGACGACGTCAGCCTCTTTCTTGATCTTCTCAACCGGGACCACAGTGGCGATCTCCTGCACGTCGCTCATCACGGCATCCTCGCCTTTCTTGCCAAGACCGAGGGCTTGTTTCAGGCGTGCCAACTCCTTGGGGGCGTTCTTCTTCCTCTTTTCAGCTCGCATCTTCCTCTTCCATTTACTCCGCAAGCTTTTGGCCATTTTGTCTTCGGGGGGAAAAAATCACCATGAACACATTTTATTAGTCCTCGCGCATGTACAAATAAGTTGTCCTTGTGTTTAGGGGGTTTATGTGCACTTGGATAAAATGCGTAAGTCTCGAAAATATGAAACTTTCTGACTTCATGTTTTTAAAAGACGCCTTTGGACATAACATCAAATTAGGACAAATCGCAGACATTGGTATTTTGCTAAATATGATCAAGTAAAGAAACAGCAAAGCTAACGTCGGCTAGCTCGTTAGCGATCAACCTGCAAAGCTATTTTTTCAACGCAAATCAGCCACTGAAGTGCTCAATGTCATAATGTTGACTCTCAAACAATAAACGCACTATAGTACATAGAGTAGCTTACAGGTTGTAGATATTTCCGTTCAAGTTGGACCGTAGATACAAGAAGGAACAGACACGTGTTTACAAGTGGCAGAGCAGCTACGTGAAGAAGGTGCGATTTGATTGGCTGTGCGCGTAAACTGAAGATCGCCAGCTCTCATTGGGCTCTCTTTCCCCTGGGTGATGACATGACTTCTCATTGGCTAATCGTCACCAACCCGGAAGCTTCGCTAAACAACGACCACCAGAAGGTTCTCGGGTACAAATAACACCCTGGGGTGCGTGTAATTATACATTTAGCTTTTTTTGGGTCATAAAACAAAGTTTGTAATATATTTCTGTCGAGTTTAAACAATTCTATCGTAACTAAAATCATGAGCAGCCCTACGGTGAGCGGCGATTTTATGGCTGTGTTTAAGGCTCCGCTGTCTTCGACTCAAAGCAAACTGTTGGACATGTTGGAAGACGCCACCGAGCAACTGATGCTCTATAAAGACTTCGACTCTTCTTTTCATGTCTGCGAGAGAGGCCTGGAGAGCCTCGCACACGCGGAGGAAGAGGACGTGAGGTGACGCGTTAAGTTAAACCACACTCTTCACTTTATTATTTATTTTCATGACTTGTATCCACTCAAATAGGGGTGAACTTAAGGCTGGCTTTTGCATCGTGGGCATTCAAGCTTTGGCTGAGCTCAACCAGTGGCCAGGTGTGCTCGCCTGGGTCTGTCAGCATTATGAGCATGAGGAGGACATACCAGCTAAAATACTGCAAATGTGGTGAGTACACGTGAATCACATTGTCCATGTGTCATTGCACAGTGTTTTTCATCCTTTGTCATCTTTTCCGACAGCATCCTCCTCTACGCCAAGGTGGGCGAGCCAGCAGCGGTGAAAGAGGCTACCCAAGTGTGGCTGCGCAACCCATCTAACCGCGGGCTGCAGGGGTTTCGCACGGTGGCTGAACTCTACCTGCTGCACGTCCTCCTGCCCCTTGAACTCACGGACCAGGCCCGGGAACTTGTCGTTGGCGAGTTGGGGCGCGCCACGTTCACGGAAGAGCAACAGCAGACGGCACTGGATATCATAGAAGAAGAGGAACGTGAGAAGAAGGTGCTAGATGTCACCGTAGATTGTAGGTTAAGAGCTGAAAATGCCTCGACGCAAGGTGAGAACTGATTTCGACCTTTCGATTGAGCAACAACAAAAACTGTCCTCCTTTCTTATACACGTCACCTGTGCACTAACGGTACACTGGAACTTGCTCCACACAGGTTCCCTTCTCCACAAAGTAGAGGCCTTGTTGAGGCTTACTTGCAGGAGATTGACGTCTGCTTCCGGATTCTTCCCATTCCATAAACTCATCTTGGCAGCTCTTATTCTCTACATGCTTTTGTTACGCCTGGATCCAGGTATGCTTTTACACCAAATGGAAAAAAAACTGCATATTCGTGATGTTGTCATGAATACGCTTTCACTTTTTTTCCTTCTCTGTGCTGCAGCGCTTCCGTCTTCCTTTGTGTGGATTTCCAAATTACATCAGCTGCTCCGACAGATGTGGAACGTCATGGTGGCTCCATATTATCGAGCTCGGAAAGACTGAGCGTGGACTTTCTCGTAATTTGATTTCTCCTTAATGTCATTCCAAACTGGTTGACATAAAAGATACAGCTCTAGGATAGGAAAGGGATTTTACAGTGCATTCTTGTGGATCATGTGTAATAGGGTTGTTTCATTTTCCTTCCTTGTTGATGTTCAATCAAATGTTATTTTATTTGCTGTTTATTTAATCACAGCTCCTGTTCAGTCTCAGTTGAAGCCTTTGGTCTATATTCTTCATTATCACCCAAAAATAATATCAAAGCTGCTGTTTTGTTTTGTTTTTTCTCCTCCCTCCACATGTCAAAAGTTTCACACGTCAGGTTATTATCTTTTCAGCTTTGATTATTTGATCAATTTACTCTGTGGCACTTATGCTGTATTTTCCTTTTTTTTCCAGCAAATGCACAGAAAAGAGCAAGGTGGTTGACGCAGGAAAGGTTCGCACTTTTCCATTACCTTATCATTTATTCATGTCCATTCAGATTACATGTTTTATGCTTTGAGTACTGTACCGCAACAAATAAATGCAGCAGTGTCACGTGTTTGTGTGTAGGTGGTGCTCAAGAGTCATCACATGCTCATGCTAACTTCCACAAGTTTCCTACTTAAGCACTTGAAGGGTGGAAAGTAAACAAAAAAAAACATGGCTCACCACATCAGTGAGCAGTTGCCCATAAATGTCACCAAATGTAAAACAAGTATGAGCAAAAAATATTTTAAATTTTTACCACGTCACGTCGTACTGAGATGAGAGATCTATAGCTTCACCATTAATTTGTTTAGAGAATGGTCAGGGTATTGTATGTCCAGATTGTATTATCGCTGTGCATCATTGTGAGTGGAATTAACTCTTACCACTTTGGTAATTGGAGTGTATCTTCTTTACAGTGACTCATTGTGTAATTGAAGAGCATCACAGCGTGAGCAGAATTGTGAATGGCGTGAATCGTACCACAATTTTCAGAGACTCGTATCGTGATTTGAATGAACTGTGTCGATTTCAGTTGGACTGAATCGGATCATAATTGAAGGTAATCGTATCATTATTCTGAGCGACTCGTTGTCATTGGACTGTAACGTGTAGTAATCGGAGTGAATGGTGTCGCTCATCTTATTATTGTAATTGAAGTGAATCATAAGAGTTTAAATGAAATCCGCACTCCGCCAGCCCCTGCGGTGACGCGTCGCTGTCACCGCGCCAGTGTTGACGTGTGTTTAGCTCGTTGCTAGGTGAGCGCGCGCGCTGGAGAAAATGAACTTTTTTTTTTTTTTTTTTGAGTGTTGGCTTTCAGAAAGATCCCTCCGTCTCCCCCTCTCGTGCTGCATTCCGGACATTTCACTAGCGTCATCAATATTACCGCTTAATGTTGTAACAGCACGGGGAAAAAAAATCAGCCTCAAGCAGAGCCGCCATATTGTTGGTGTGGCTTTTTGATTTATTCCAACCATGGAGCTGATGTCACCTTCTCACAGCAGATTAACTTGCAGACTTAATTTAAGGCAGCCATGTCCAAAGTTGCGTACAGAAAAATATATGCAAGCGGTGGCCATTTTGGTATTTGTCACCTAATTGTTGATGAAAGAAAACGAGTCACAAAATGGCCGCCTCTTGTCAACCACGGTTCCACTCGGAAGGCCACTGTGTTAGCTCGCTAGCGCACGTTCTAGCGTTGTCATTACTTATCAGCGATTTAACCATTTATTCTTTGTGGAAAAATGAATGACGAACACGGGGAAAAGCCAAATAAAAACAAATTGGCACGAGCTAAGTGTGAACTGTTTACCCTCTTGTCAATATGCTCTTCCAGGTTAACTCCTTTTTCTGCATGCCTGTTTTGGAAACCATGGTGACGTCCGCTATTGTTGGTCGCAAACTAAAGTCGGATGCTTTTATGCGCTCCCTTTCATGTTGATAAGGCATCATAAAAGCATATCACTGCTTTCACTTTCTGCTGTTATATAGTCACTAAGTACTGAATTCTGCTCTTGATGCTCCTTTAGGCCAGCGGCGCACCCCTTCCGGCGGCACACGTGCTCCAAGAGAAAAGCCCTTGATGTTCAACAAGGTCAGTCTTTTGCAAACTCTTCAAGTCACGCACCCCCTTCGTTTGACTTGCTCACTGCCAGCCATTTTCAAAGGAGCGTTTCCCATCCTGCCAGCTGTTTGATAGCATTTGAACTGATCTTTTGTTGTGTGACGATATGAAAACAGTAGCTGACCGGAAAAACAAGTTTTCCGCGGCAGGAAACCACGTCGGGTTTGACCAAAATCACTGGTGAAAAGAAACATGCACAACGGTGACTTTTTTTTTGCTTTTGTGACACTTCAAAAGTAGATAACACGAAGGCCTTACCGTTGGCGTCGCTCCATTCACTGCTTGCTTTTGTGACACTTCAAAACTAGATAACACAAAGAAAGGCCTTACCGTTGGCGTCGCTCCATTCACTGCTTGGCTCGAATTTAATATTCGCCATTCACTCGAACTGCGTCATCTTTTCACACAATGGCAACCCATAACTTTCTACGACCGTCTTTGACACATACTTTGTTTTCTGTCTCGACTTGTCCCATTTCTCAAAAACTGTGCTGATCCCAAATGAAATCCGAAGTGGTGCAACGGCACGATTTACTCGGAATCTGTTGGTCATTGCAGCGGTTTACAAATCTGATTGTACGGTCAATCAGCGTGTACAGTCGGTGCCACGCACCCCCATCATCATCTTAACCAAACCCCCCCTCTCCCCAGCACCTTCTGCCCTCACCCCCTCCCCTCCCCAAAAACATATATAGACAGTAATTACATGCCCCAGACTGTCAATAGTTGGGAATCCCTGCCTCGACTGTGAAAGAAGGCATAACTCAAAATCGGCTTCTTATCATCAACGGCTGGAATTCGAGCTGCCATTTTCCCTTGGTTTGAGATTCTTGGAAGCGTGTCGCAAATTACACATGTGCTGTGGTGACTTTTGTTGTGAGGGAAAAAAAAAAATGTGATGCGGGGCGGCGGTTTGGTTTGGAGCGTGACGTGACTTTTGGGTGGCTGTCGCTGCGATTCCATGATGCACGTTCGATGCGTTCAGGGTGGAGGAAGAAAACGCTGAGCAGACAGTTAAGTCGTCCAAGGCTGAATGAGTGCCCCACTCCCCCCACCCCCCTTCTTATTCACGGTGCCCCACCCGTCGTTCCCCTTCAGTCAGCGCCTTATCTGCGCTCCTTATCATCATGTCGGCATGTATTTTGAAGCCGGGCCGCTCGGGTTACTGGGAAATTGCTTCCTGTCCTAACAGCCATCTTGAAACCTTTGCACCACCTGCCCGCGCCGCGCCGTTTCGTTCCCATGGTGGGGGAAAAAAAAAAAAAAAAGTCGTTAAAAAGACAAAACAAAACACGTCGTCTGGTTGCGACTTGTCGCGAGGAAGACTCATCCGGACACGATCGGAACGTATCATAATAAATCCTGGCCTGGCGCACCTCCTATAAGAAGGAGTGAGGGCAATTGCACCTCCAGGCCAAATTTCACTTTGGCATTTCGGATCGCACAAACGCCAACCACCGCCGCACACTCTGTGCATGTTCATGTTTTGTCGCAAAACAAACAAACAAACAACAAAAAAAAAAATTTTGCTGCATTTTCACGATGTGACTAAAACTTCGATTTCCATACCTAGCTCGTAGCCTTAGCGGGCAGTGACAAATTGGATTTGTTTGAATTGGGCTCATCAAGGGTTCAGCGAGGTGAGCGTCCCATCGTCGGAGCTCTCTGACCTCCTTGCCGTTCCCACACAAAGACCCTCTAATGCCAGGTAGCCGGCGGCGGCATTCCTCAAGCATTCCTCCACGGGGAAGTTGCTGGGATGGGGACCAAACAATGACCCGCTCTCACTCGTCGGGTTTAGGGTTCTGTGGGAAAGTCCAGCGCCGGGTTGAGGCGGGACGGCGGATGGAATGTTCTGCGGGAGATGCGCTGACAAGATGGAGGGAGGTCTTCTCATGACGGGCGGCCGATAAAGTGCTTTGATGGAGCCGTGCTGTTTGCACATATGCTCGTCATGCTTTCTGGACTTTGTTTGCACGTTTTCGGGCTGATGTCATGTCAAGGGGAGGATCTGCATTGACTCGCTGCGTTTCATGGTAGACCCAACATCATCGCTTTTGATCTACATTAAAAAAAAAAAAAAAAAGGAAGAAGCATGCATAGCCACGTTTTGTGACTAATCGACATATGACGATCTGCCGGAAAACGTGTTCATATTTTCAACACCCACGTTGAATCTACATTTTGAAAAGCATGCATCTCCACAATTAGTATCTTTTTATCTGAAACCTCGTCAATACATTGTTGTTGTTTTGGGGCTAAAAATAAAAAACAGTCAAAGGTTTTTCATTGGACAGTGTCTCCAGTCTGCCGCATCGCCAAAGTGAGCATGCTTTTTACGGACCTTGCTGGAACAGAAAAGAGGGGCTTCCCCCAAACGTCCCGCAAGAAGCACACAATTATGTAACATCTCTCTCTTGGCAAAATGATTTATGAGAATTCAAGAGGTGTCATCGTAATTGATTCGTGGATTGATTAGAGGGTGTGTCTTATGTAAATGATATTTTGCAGACACGAACCTGATGACTGTTTAATTTCCTGTCACATTTAGCAGCATTGCTGTGATGGCACTTTGCTGGCACACTGCAACATATTGAAGTGCTATAGGGGTGGGGGGGGGGCAGCCATGTGTCCCGGCTGATAAATGAACGCAGCTTGCCCTTTCGCCTCTTCTGACGTTTGACAAAGCGGCGCAACGCTGGCGTGAAAGCCGCCTTTTGTTGACACTGCGGGCCGTCGCCTCGCCGTCGGGCCGGGCCAACGTGTCGTGCCTGCCGTCTATATGCGGCGCTCGGTTTTGTGGGAAACGCTCGGAGGAGATTGACGGCAGCCCGCAGGCTCGCCTCGCGTCCTCTCTTGACGTGCGGCCCAAATTCCCGCCCCGGAGGAAGTGCGCGGCCTGGCGGCACAGCGCCCGAGCGTGTGAGAATAAATGTATGTCACCTTTAACGGCCTCTCGAGGGAGCGTCCCGTGCACCGGAAGAGAGTGCCGTGCCGTCACGCAGGCATTTGTGCTCGAGGCTCGGCTAGGCTAGCACATGTAGGCAGCGGAGCCTGAATTGAACTCCCTGCCGTCTCGTCAGCTGCATTGCATTCCAAACCGCAAGCATTGACGCTTGGTGTAGAAAAGTGAGGCTAAATGCTAAGCGAAGAGCTTGATTTTTGTCTTTCAAGGCAACTTCCGACTATATCTGAAATATTGACCTTGCGCCGATGTCACGGCATGGCTGTGATGTCATTCTTTCATACGCGTGCCAAGCCACATCCTTCTTCAACATCCCAAGCAAAGCAAAATAGCGCGATCGATGTCCATTTTGATCTCTCCAACTCTAAAAATAAATAAACATGTTCCCAACATGTTACGTCACGCAGTTCTTTTGACCTCTCGGACACTGCCGATGTGTAGTTCGGGATGCACCGATGTTGACACTGTGGATGTGTACTCGGGATGGGGAAAAAAAAAATTCTCCGACACCAACACGTTGATACCACTTAACAAGCCACACGTGTTAACTTCTGGGCAGGTGG